GGCTTGTACGTTGTGTGTCTAGTTGAGAGTATACGGTTGGCAACTTCCATACCAATTCAAATATGAAATCAACTGGCATCCCGTGTGAACCGCGACCATGCATACGTACATGCAGGGGTGGCGCTCCGCTGACACCATCCCCACATGTATAAGGAACACACATGTACCTCACTCCGGCAGCTGAAAATGAGCTCAATCTTTGGGTTTGGCGGTCGGTGTGCGATCTCACTGACCCCGGTGCGTAAATGGATGTAAATCGTGCCGTTCTCGTATTTTTTTAGCAACCCCGTGCCATCTCCCCGACCGGTGCCACCTCTCAGACCGGTCCTATCTCTCCGACTATTACGGTATATATTAAAGCTATGTTGTTTTCTTTCCGCGTTCACCCCTTCTAAACCAAAGCTTAACAAGCAGGCTATCGGCGAGACTATGTCGGCTCCTCTCTCCCCTCCTGCAACTCCCCCTTCAACCAACTTCCCCTTCAACCTACATGAAGTCTACAAGTAAGTATGCTTCAGACAACGTGGCGACGACTCGCTCAAACCTGGTGTATAATATCTCCTCAATATACCCTGCGCAAAAACTTTGGGTTTTTCTCGATAGTTTGACATGGGAAGGTGTTGAATCTAGTATCTGCCATTTGCAACCTACATGGGAGCAGATCATCTGCGATGTGTGCCTGTAAATGCAGCAGCCTACCCGCCTGGACCGATTTCCAAACATCAATTACTCCACGAAGAGAATGCGTGCATGAAACGACTGTTTCAGAAGGCTCTTGACAGAGCGGCTTCAACGCCGCCGTTTCCGGCGCTGCCACGCTTCTGCTGTGAAAGAATGGAGCTTGGAAAATCGGTCGAGGGGGTGTGATATCTTGTGTCATACCTTGTTTAGGTGTAGCCTGAGCCGGAAATGGGTAGGCTTTCGACGCCTTATAGGGTGGCTGTGGGGGATTGGGGGAAACATGCTTCTTCAGACGTCGTATGGGTTGTTGTGCAGTGTTGTGCCTGGTTGGACGTTGGCAAGCTATCAATCTGGAAGCAGATGGCAGCGGCAGATCTGGATGCTGATGCGCCTACCTCTAGCGTTGCGGGGCAATCGGTTGTTTCTTTCGTGTACAGCCAGCGCAGAAAGCGGTTCCGGTCATCTCGAAGCTGTGCAAAGGCCTAGACCTACAGCACCTAGACTCAGCTAGATATTCCACTCGCTCTTCGTACAGCAGCAGTACACGCCCTACCGAACGGCCGGCAGCCCGGTAGCGCGCACATACAAATCGGTGCCCCCGACAACAGTCTACATTGTAGACTAATTGATTGCTTTCGGCGGTCCTGACATGTTTTTCTAGCAGCATTCTTCTCCTCCCCTACACACCATGAGTCCCCTGTGCGCGCAGGAACATACTCCACTGAACATACGAGCAGGCGGGCTCTGCAAGCCTGCACAGCTCGGGCTTCAGTGTGCAAGCTAGCAGAGCTGAGCTAGCCGAGTACCACCTCCAAACCGTCAAGAACCGCGTGCGCGCGCGCCCAAAAAGTACGGCATGCTTTCCGAACCTTCCGGAAACCCTACCCCCGAACCCCCTAAAGATCCTTTCGCACGATTGGTAATCCGACCTCTCTCCAGCAGCGTACACACTACTTGTACGCACACAAGTGTCACCACGTTTCGAGCTGCTGTAGAGGGGAACGTGTAAGCTACAAGGAGGGAGAGCGCCGGAAGATACGTGAGACTGTAGGATAGGCCGTTGGAGGAAGGGCCACCGGTGCCAGCAACGGGTCGACTGACTGCCGCAGCATCTCAGTCTTGTGCAGATCTCAACGCGGCATTTTGCTGACGCAGGAGCAACGCAGCGCCTGCAGCAGTAGCTCCTACCTCTGCTCTCGCTGGAGGTCCGCGGTGTGTGAGGCATGGGTTCTGGGCAGAGGTGAGGCTCTAGTGGATCATCGTGGCGCTGTGCCTGCTTCTGTCTTCCCGGGTTGCGATGTGCGCCTCCGCCCTTTGAGTTGATTATGTTCTCTCGACCGCAGCAGTTGTAGTTGTTGTTTGTCGGACACACGCTGTTCGCCAGCTACCGGCCCACTCGCTCACCTTCACACGACGCCTTGCCGGGACGTTCACACACTCTCTACCTTTGAAGCATACGTGACCCTTGCCCACTGGCGGGATTGAACTGCGATATTCGAGGAGAAGGGAAGAGCATTATTGCTTGTTGCAGAAGTCAAGGGGCGAGTCGATCGACCCTTGGTAACATGAGCACGCGCGCACACGTGCGCGCACCCGCCTAAGAGTCGGGATCGATCATGTTCGACCCACAACACTTTTGTATGTGGTGGAGTGCTGTTTTCGCTTTCCCAAAGCGACAAGGAACAGGGTTTTTTGTGCGTGTTGCCTCTCTCACGGAAGCATGCATGCACGCCTCCATCAAATAGTAGCCCGCGTGACCAATGCTATGGTGCGGTTCTGGCAAAGTGCGGCGGGGAAAATATTTAACGGACCGGAGATGGGAGTTCTTCATGTTAACAATTGCCGTGGTTTCCAACTCTGTTTCCGACTCATTCTGAAGAGCACGGACGATGCCGGCCGGTCACACCTGGTGCTGCAGAAAAGCGACATCATTCCCGCTTCATAGCGTCGCTTTCACGTTATTGGCAGCGTTCCGTACCCACCACTGCTGTTGTATTCCCTTGTTTTGTTTTGCGGACGTGTTCACGGAGCGGTTTTTCGGCGGGAAGGAAGCGAAGCGGACACGGCTTAATTTTCCCGCTCCTCTTTCCGCCCTGACAACATCCGAAAAAAAAAATGCTCCGCTCCGCTCCATGACAATTGAAATTTGAAACGCTCAGCTCCGCTCTAACTGAGGGGTGCGGCTGCGCTGCGGCTCGACAAATTTTGGTGCTGAGTCACGAGGCGCGCTGAGAGATAAGAACTGTCTTAGAGATGGCAGAGTCGACCGCTAATCCCCACAATTGTGATGACAACCCGTGCAACAGACTAATTACTTTCAGTGCTGTTTCTACTTACGCAAGAGAGTGCTGCACTCTTTGTCGCATTAAAAGTCGAAGGCAAAAAGTACCGCGGGGGGGGGGGGGGGGTAGTGGGCCTCAGGGAGAGAAGCCCGACTGTGTGACCACGGGTTGAAGTAAACGGCTCAAGTGCTGTGAGCGCTGATTTGAAGTGAAGACAAAAAACAAAATACTTTGACAATACTCCACCTCAATACTCAACCCAACCACCGTTTCAATATTCTGGCGCCCCATTGTTGGGTGTTTGCTTGTCCTGACGTGGCAGACGGGCACCGCCTCCAGCCCAACCCCCACCATCGAAGCCTTTGGACTTTCCCCGGTCGTTCAAGGGCGGCGGTGGCGGTGTCACCGACTTCGACGACACCAGTAGCGCCAGTAGCAGCAGCGGTGGTGGCGAGGATGAGCCGTACGAAACGGAAAGCTCACAGGAGAGGGCAGAACAGCACCGGCACCAGCACCAGCGGCAACCTCTCCTCTGTCTGGAGAAGGAGGGAGGGCCCGACGTGGCCGTCAAGAAGACCTCGGAGCTATGGCACATCCACGGTAGACATTTCGACCTTACCCCGTTCTTGGACCACCACCCGGTGAGAAAAGTTGTATCTGCTCCGCAAAATCAAGGGTAGTCTAATCCCCCCGCCCGCCCCCCTCCGTTTTGTCCGGCAGGAAGTCTGATACATGAGCTATGTCTCGGTTTTTTGTAGAGGCTCCGTCACTGCGTCTTAAGGGCGTCAGGTCTGAAGACTATCGGTCGTGCATGATTCCTGAGTCCAACCCCTGCCCCCAACAACAGCAACACCAACGGAGGATATTAAAAAAACGCATCCGACGATTAGCAAGCTTGTCGTCATTGTGGTCGCGATAAAACTCCTGCCCAGGGAGGGTCTAGCATCCTCGAAGCGATGAAGGGAGCGGAGGACATCACGCCCGTCTTCGAGAGCTACCACGCCCTGGCACACAGCGCCGCCATCCGACAGAACTTGGAAAAATTCGAGTGGACGGGCAAGGTGAGAAGGCGACGTACTTCCTGCGTGATCCTAAAGTCTGCGTCTGGCGTGCTTATCGGTGGTCCCCTGCGCTTGACTAGATGCCTCACGATGGGAGACAACGTTTGAGTTCAGCGCATTTTGTTTGCTTCGAAATGTTTCGGTGGTAGTCTGTTGTTGGCTGCAATATTTCTGCTCGGAGTATGCACATTTACACAAAAAATGTTATAAGTATTTGATTGATTTCCGCTGCATGTCTCCCTCCGTTTTCTCTAATCTGTTGGCTGATGTTTGTAGCTCATGGACGACGTGTCGGAGCGGGAGGCAGCCCTCGTGGGGGGCACGCGGAAAGAGCCGGTGAGGTATCGATGGGATGAGGGGGGCTTCTACGCCGTCCTTATCGCAAGGGTCAAGGCCTACTTCCTCCAGAAGCACGGGCGGGCTGGAGTGGACCCGCGAAAAGCCTCGGTCAACCGGTTTGTGAAGGTGGGACGGTTTTCCAGCCCCGTGGGTGTGTATGGCCAGGGCCCCCGGGCAGTCAGGGCGGTCATTAGGCACGTACCTGCAAACCGAAGCCGTGGCTCCCAAGGCCTTGATGGTGCAGACGCACGCAGTGACGAACGACTGCTGTCGCTTCCGGAGGTTTTAACATGTTGACGGAGGGGAGGGTGAAGAACAGTGCGTGGGTCTTACCGTAGGTCGCTGTTGGAAAATATTACCAGGAATCCAGGAGAATGCGTGGGAAAGTACGAAGAATTTAGGAAACACATCCAACTTTCATGTTTGTGTTTAACTCTCTGGTCGCTTCCGTTCTTACCGTCCGGTCATCTTTTTCGGTGTGCCTGTATTCCTTCCTCCCTTCCTCCCTCCCTCCCTCCCTCTCTCTCTCTCTCTCTCTCTCTCTCTCTCTCTCTCTCTCCCCCTCGCTCCCGCTATTCGCGTACATTATTATTTTCGATCGAGGAGGCCCCGCCGGCTTGGTACTTTAAGGAGTTGCTTATCCTGGTGGTGTACCTGCCCCTCTTCACGTGTATGCTTGGGTACAACGTCTTTGCGACCGGGTTAGGGGAGGCCCTCCCTCCACCACCCCTGTGGGTGCGCGCCACGGCCGCCGTGCTCGCGGGGGCCTTGCTGCAGTCGTTCTCCTTCTGCACGCTGCACGACGCCTCTCACTACGGCCTGCTCTTCAAGGTGGGCTGGCTGGTTCTTGGATGCTTGCATCGATCGACCAATGCTTGCCGGCTGACCAATGAAACGACGCTCGGTCTGATATTAAACGTTGCACGGACCGCGCTAAACGGCTGAGCAAGAATATGGCGTCAGTTTGACATTCCAAAGTTGCATCGATCGCGCTGACCGGCTGACCAAGGGAGCTACCCTCAGTCTGATTTATATGGCGAGATAAGAAACGTGGACACGCTTCCAAGGTGTGGGTGGGAGGGTGGGCGCGTGCCGTCTTTTTTTTTCTCGTATTTATTTTGCTGCTGGGGCTGGGTGGCACCCCACCACTAGAGTTTCGATTTTTCGCTAGCAACATCGTTTCCGTGCTTGTGATGCGTGCTTCGGCAGAGACCGCGGGTGCAGGAGGCCGTTTCCCGACTCTGTAACGCGTGGACCCTCTGGCACCACGGGCTTTGGGTGATGCATCACGTCTACGGCCACCACTCTTTCACGGGTGAGTTTCGATTGAACGTTGTCGTTGGTGGCGAAAGTAGTTGTAGTGGTGGTGGTGGTGGTTGTCATGACTATCGTTAGTGGCCATGGTACCGATGGCTTGAGTTTTCGTGGCCATGGACGGCGCTAGTGGCCATGGCTGTCGATGCCGTTCGTGGCCATGGCTGTTGTCGGCTCGTTTTTCGCGCAGCAGACAGAGTGTCCCTGCCTGTCTCCCGCGTTTGTTTAGCCAGGCTTAGCGCCCGGTGCAGGCTTGCACGTAGTCGTGCTCGCTTTGCGTGTTTGTTTGTTCGCGCGTCTTTTCTTTATGGGTCGATCGATGCGACGTCTTTTGCTCGCTTGCCGGTGAACCTTCCCAGCGTTCCTTGAACCCCATCAAGTCAAACTTGAGGTGCTTCATGCCATTCCCATTCTCCTTTTGTGGTATTTTGTGTGATGGTACGGGTTTTACCGGTGTGGAGCGGTCCCTGCTTGTTGTCGTTTTTCGCTCCCCTCCCTCGGACCCTTCCTTTGTATCATGAAAAAACCATACAATTGTCATCATCTCGCCGCGGCTTGTTACTTACTTTCGTTCTCCCCACACCAAGGCTCCCGTCAGCTCGAATCCCCCGCCCCTTGCCTCTCCAGTGTCGTCCCGTTTGATGGAACACGCGACCCCCACTATGTTCAAACTCGTCACCCCCCCCCCAACCTCTGCGGCCCCCGTTTTGCAGGAGACCCAGAGAGAGATCCGGACCTCGTGCACGCTCGCCCTTACCTTAGGAAGAGTATTCTTGCTCCGGCTGAGCAGTACGACCCCTTCTTGGTCAAGTGAGAAAGAGGGAAAGGGAGGGACGAAGAAGGGATGGGGACGAGTGCTGCCTGCTGCTTGTATTTGTGCAGGGCTTGTCGTGTGTGTTTTTTACATGTATTCAGTGAATGACTCACCTCTGCTCTGCCGGTGCATTGGGCGCGCGAGATATAGGAGACAGACAAATGTTTTCTGAAACAATCACCAATGTAGGACCATGCATGAAGGGGGGTGTACTCATAGTCGTGCATGCCGTAGTCGTTAGGTCATTGACCTCGCATCCCTGCAAAGGCGGGACGGAGCACGCCGGGTTCACACCGTACCAGGCTCTCACGTCACCAAGCGCGAAGCTCCGTGAGGTATTCGGCGAGTCGCATGAAGGGTGCGCTGCATCCTGCTAGGGGTGATCGGCATCTTGTGCTTTCTTTCCTTGCGTACGGTTGACAGCTGCGTATGACTTCATATATTTTCTGGTGCTTTCACTTACAGAGACAGTTACTAGAACAAACATTGTGCAACTGCCTCGAGGGTGCTTGACCAATTTCAACACCACGTGATGCGATCATCCCCTTTGCGCGGAGCGAGGGTTCTGGACCCCGTACAACATAATCTACTCGACCTCCATTATGGTTGCCGCAAAAAAAAAAAACGGTAACCTGGTTGCCGAGCTCACGAAGTGAATTGGCTTGTTTTACAACGTCGTTGCCAAAGCGACGAAAACCCAACCCCGATGGCAAACACCGGGGGTGTGGGGAGGGTGAAAATCATTACAGCATGATCACAGGCAGTTAGTGTCCCCCCCCCTCTCCTTGTATGATGAGTGGGCGTGGGGCAACGAAATGGCGATGAATACGCAGCCTCATCCCGGCCTTCCCCGCCGTTGTGTATTACTCTTCGCCGCGTGCCGCGGCGTGTACACCGCTGGCACCGCCGCTGGCACCGCCGCTGCCGCCGTCGCAGGTGGCAACGCTTCTTCGCCCCGGCATTCATGATGGTGATGCCTGGCGCCAGCCTGGGTCAGACGCAGGCCTACCTTAGAGGCCTGCGAGAGGGAAACCTTTGGCACGTCTCCATTACGTGAGTTGAATTCCGCGTTTTTTTTTGTCTTCCATAACCCGTAACACACTATTGTCGTTCGTGGGCACTTCAGTCGGCGGTCGTTGCACGTCCTTGCATTCATCATCCGCAACTTTTTTCCATCGTGTACGAGACTGACATTACATGTGTCCCTCGAGGAGCGCTGAGTAGGATTCCCGGGGGGGGGGGGGGGGGGGGGGGGGGGACCCTTTTTTTTTTTGAGCCTTATAGGGTAAAACCTTTACCCCCCCCCCCCCAAAAGGAAGAAAATTTTTTCCCCAGGAACAAAAC